CAAATCTTTAAATTGTTTTATTTAACATATTGAATATTTAATTTTCAACTTTTTTTTTAATATTGTTGAAATGGATCAATATTTATTTATATGTTTATAAATCAGCTAATTACATTCATACGAACTTACTTTATTTGAGAAACTTTTTTTTTAAGCTTAGAATGGATGTAAATTTGGAATTCGAATTCAATGCTTATGAAATCATAGGAAATTAATTATGTTTATCAAGAAAAGCTACCAGAAAATTAATTGAATCATTAAGATGCCAAAATTCGTGAATTCATCCTTAAGAAATTTAGAAGAAATTAGATGCGGATAAGAAATCTAATTTATTCATAATATAAGCTAATTAATTCATTTATTGATTTATTATTAAAATTTATTGATTAATTTAAAAGGCCATCATATCAGTTATTCAAAAAAGATTTATAAGACGTATGAGTTGTTAGTTAACTGAATCAATCGACTATTCAAATATTTTGAATATGCATGATCTGTTATATATAATGTATTTTGATATATTGTAACTTTTATTACTTAACTACAAAAATTTATAGAATTAGCAATTCTAAGTTCTTGTCGTTCAATGGTAAATTTTTTGTCATCTAATAGTGCTTTATTATATTATGTAATTATTAACAAATTATTAAAACTTTCTAGATCGGAAATTTGAAATCTAATAACGTAATTGTCATATGAATAATTTACTACATAAGATGATAAATAAGTTTACATATGTATTTTTCAGCTCAGATAGCTGATATAACTAATAAGCAATATGCTTAGTGATTGATTTTGAAATAATATATACTGAAAGATTTTACTTTATAGCTCTTGTCAATTAACACTAACTTACTATAAGAGAAAAAGGAAAAAAAACTAATAATACATATACATCCTTTAATAGTTCTCATACACTACTTGCTGACAGTTTTAAAGTTTATCACTTACTGAAAAGAAGAGTTCTCTCTGGGCAAATGTATTGGTGTATTGTCTTTGGTAACCTTTATTCCTTTGTATCAAAAAGATTAAGTATGATGACAAAAATCCTCAAACACCACCCACTTGGTTTGGCAACAAAAAATTCGAAAAAAGTAGACAAAACAGCTTACCCCCAACAAAAGATCAACATTGTTTATAGTTACCAAATTCGGATGACGCAGTGGAGTACAACTACGTACCCAGGCCAAATACGGGAACAGTGCCACTATTTTGAACCGGACTACCTTTGAAATCTCTCGTGGGAGTTTTAAAGATGCATAATGGCGGTGACAACCACTTTAGGGACAGGACCCAGAGCTGCAAAGGCTAAAAATTTTCAATTATATATGGTGGGATAAAATTAAAGTTAAAGCTTAGCTTTATAGTAGAGATATGCAGATGTTGTATTTGTCATATAATTTTTTCACAAACCTGGCATAGGTTATAATAGTGTGTATCAGAGTTTCCTGACCTTTTTTTATGCTTTTTTCATCTTTGTTCATTTATGATGGAATCTTATTTAGGATATGTTCTTTGTATATTCTTTTTTTTTTCCTTTCTTCTCCTAGATATAGTTTTTTTTTTGTAAACATGGTATATATATTCTTAGCTTGTAGAAAAGTAGGAGATAATTATTCTACTTGGATCTAGGTGGAAAAAGTTTTAAAGAAAGAACAGAAGATCCTGACACAGTATACAACAACCTGTCAAATGATCGAGAGGTGATATTCTTAGTCAATACGAAATCTGAAGCGAGTTTTGGATCCCTTTGTAAAACAAATAGTTGTTTTAGCAGGTCGCATTGGGCAGTACTCTGTATACTTGGTGAGTTTCTATTAGAAAAGAATACTACACTATTTTGGTTGCTATTTGTGTAATAATAATTTTTTAGTAGTTCAAAAAATAAATAGAAGCAGGATCACTTAATATAAAAAAAAATATATGTTTTTTTTTAATATATGTTTAAATTTTTTTTTTTTTTTAATATTAAGGTAACCACTTAGGCCCTTGGCACTTTATTAGTTCAAGCGGGTAGGCCGATATTAATTATTTTAATACCGGCTTTACATATTACATCAGTATCACAAGAGTACAACTAGCCACACATGCACTTTTCGAGTGCCTAATTTAAGTAGTCTGCCCGAAGGTTCTATACTAACTGCCGTACCTGCACCCCAACTAGAAAGGTACCCATTTAAACTCTCTGGCTTCAACCGATATCACATGTTTCCTTCTATATATTTTAAATTTTAACCCATACCTATATATTTAATATTATTTTTATATAATTTAGTTACAGTCTTGAGTTGTTATTCCTCGCATAGCTTCTCTAAATGAAAAACTCCCAGGTTATTAATTATTTTATTTATTTATATTTTTATCTTATTATATTAGTTAATTATATATTATTTTATTTAATAGAGGAGCAACTCATTACTAATTCACGCACATTGATGAAGATTTTAAGCATAGAACAATATAATAATCACAACTTGAGCATATTGCTCGAAGCCAAGTAAAACTCAAATATCTTATAAACGAGCAACGATTGCAGCTTGATAAGATCCTTAAAAAGTTGGATGATGCTGGTAAAATGTATAATTCAGTTGATGTTAAAAAAAGAAAAAAGCCATCGAAGAAAATGGCAGATAATTTGTTTCAAATAAGTTTTTATTAAACAATTATACAGATTTACTTTTCATATTATAGTATTATGTTAACATCTATATTTAATTGTTGCATATACTTTAGGAAGCAATTCGACAATTTCATCTGAATTATTTCATAAATATAAGCAAATAAGCAATGAAGAAGTGAAAATGCAGCTCAAAGATAAATTGAAAAAAGATAAAGATTGTGCTGAGCAATTACGTTGTTTGAACGAAAAGGGAATTTAATTCAATAAGTTGTGGAATGAAAAATTTTACTCAGATGTCTGTATCAGTATCCTTTAATTTTATTACCTTGACGGTTATTTTCCTTATAAGCTATTTACCCGATATGTTAATTAATATTACTTAAACATTATAGCATTATAACATATTGGATAAATGATCTATAGAAGAAATGATTGTCAAACTACCTTCAATTGTTAAATTTGCTTACTAACTTTTTTTATAGATACTTTCAGCAAATCATATCAAAAAAGAATACTACGTTCATCGAATTAAAGAAGTCTTTGGAGTACCTTTGGCATTAATAAAGTCAAGTCATTTACAGAATGTGATACCAAAGAGCAAATGAAAATATAGAAAGAGAACTCTAAGAATGTTTATGAAGATTTATACAATCCAAGTGATCCAAATGACCCAAATTTGGATACTTTTCTTGCATTAATCATAAAATATGCTTTTATTTCTGAAGATGAATGCATTTATGTCAATGCGATTTGGACCCAGGCTGTTTTTGAACTTATTTTCAACAAAAATTATCTTTTGGCAAAACTTGACTCTGACGTTGTTGACACATGGTACCAAAAACTTTTATATAATTACATATATTTTTATTTATTTATTTAGTTATTTATTTATTTATTTATATTAAGTTTTAACTTTAAATTTTTAATTTTTAATTTTTTTTTTTTTAGAATAAAAAAGACACTTGTATCTCTTTTGTAAACTCACAAGCTGAATTTTTAGATTTAATAGAAGTTGATGACCTTTATGAAAAATCAACTGACTCCAACTCTGAAAGCCATCTAAGTGATAACAGCATTGAAGACAATGATAGTGATGAGAACTATACTCCAGTAACTATTGTAGTTCATTTTTTTTGAAGTTGTTAATTAATCGATGAATAGCCTAACACTATTTCATTAACAATATTATACTAAATTTTTTATAATTTAATATTTAGTTTAAAAGCTTTTTCTTCCAAATGCTAATATGAATACAGAGAAGTCTCTTATGCAAATGCTTTTAGCTTTTTTCTTATATAATAGATAATATATATAACTATATAATTTTTTATTAGTTTATTAGCTAGCAATATTGCATTTATTACATGTATTAACTATCGGCAAATAAATAAATTTGTTAACAAACGAAGTTTTTTAATATGTAATTTTAAATTTTTAAACAATGCTAGTTAACTGTATTTGTTGTTGTTTAACATGAAAAATGATGTTTATTTATATGTTAGTTAACAAAATCCATTGTTCAATACAAATAAACACTGTTTTAAACCATGTTGGTCAACAAAATTTGTTGCTTAACACATTGTTATACTAATTTTTTAATACATCAAGCTATGAAGGGTTCATTTTTCTACACTTTTGAGTATTAACTAATACTGTGTATTAGTTAATATTTATTAAATGCTTTTAAAACTTTCTGATAAAAGTTTTTACAATATTGTTATAATATTGTTATGATGTAGTTACTATAATTGTAACTTCATTATAGTAATATTATTTTAATATTTAAAAATCATTATATCAATTTAGTAACCAACTAGTTATTTAATTATAAATATATTTTTGCATTATTGCAATTTAATTTATTTTAAATCTTGTTACAATATCATCATGATGTAGTTACCATAATCGTAACTTCGTCATAGCAATTTTGTATTAATATAAAAAATAAATTGTATCAATTTAGTAACAATCTAGTGACTACTTAATTACAATATTATTAAAAAATTATAAATTTCTGTAAAGTAAATAAAGAAAAGCTTGTATATTTATACAAAAAATATATAAATAGACCAGTTTATAAAAATAATTATACATGGATAAATCAAATTCTTACAATTTACTTTTCCTTATAATTCTATTAGAAATTATTTTAATTTTATTTTTAGCAATTTTTTATTCAATAAATTTTTACAAAGATATTTTTACCTTAATTTCTATTAATAATTTACAACAAATTGAATCAACTCTTATTACAAAAGCTATCTCATTTTTTATCCAATTCATTGATCAATATCAATAAAAGTGGCTTCTAAAAAAAACACAAAAAAAAAATCAGCAAATAAGCCTACTCAAAAAAAAAAAAAAAACTAGAAAACAAACAATGATAAAACAAAAAACAACACAAAAGAAAGTAATAACAAAAAAACCAAAACCAGTAAAACTTAAAGAGAATAATACAACAATATTAGTAAAAAAGAACTGTAATAACACTTGTTGGTACTGTTATACTAAAGAACCAGGAGTTTGTAATTCTAGTTGCACTTGCTGTTTTCAATCAACAAATCAAAATTATTTTACAGTTGGTTTAGAAGAATATTAAATAGCAGGAAGACTAGAAGTAAACTTTTGTCCATTATTAAATGAAGAACTCTTAGATATTGAATAAGAATGTGGTATTAAAACTTACAAAAAAGAACAAACACAATATAATTCATTTATTAATCGCAGAAGAAATAGAGCAAATATAGATACACCTGCTGTGATTTCTGATGGATATAATACTCTTTTATTCTGGCCACAACAATATTATCTTAGTCAACTATTATTTAAAGATATACTATTTAACAATAATACCTGCACGAAACATATATTAGATTTTTATCAAATATTTAAATTAACAATTTTTGGTCATGTTAACGATAGTATTCAATCATTGACTGTTGAAGAAGGAAATGTAAAAAATAAATACGTTTTCCCTCTAGCAGAAGGACAAGGCGAACAGGACACAAATGATGTATATATAATTAATCTAATTAGAAAATCATTTAGAGTTAGATTATTAATACTTAAGCAAGATAATACTTGTCAATTAACTCAAGATGAAGGTATTGGACAAAATGCTAGCTTACTATCATCAGCAGTATTTGAAAACTTGAGCAATCTCATTGATAGTTGTGTAAAAAGAAATTTTAACATAGTATATGAAAAAATACAAAATATTGAATATTTCAAATGTAATTATAAAACAACTATATGTTTTAATTAGTGCATTGAAAAAAATTGGTGTATTACAGCTTTTAATAATGATAATACAAATAATAGACCAACATTAATTCAAATTAATACTGGATTGTTGTTGTGAATGATATTAATGAACCATTGCGATATTTAAAATATATGACTAATCAACATGAAGATAAAAGATATCTTCTTGAACCCAAATTTAACTCAACTAGAGATAAAGAGTTTTTAAGAAAACCTTGTGCTATAATATTAGATTTTATTCAAGCATATTGATTTATTAATTTTGGAACAAATAATGCTTTAGCAATTAGAGATATGGTTGAAGAAATTAGAGATTTAAAACAAAATTTGATGAAAATAATAGAAAAAAACAAAATAAAGAAAAAAGTAAGTTTATTTAAAATATATATTATAATATATAATATTATTAAACTAATATTAGAACCGACACAGATAAACCAACACAACCTACACCTACTCGACCTTTTGAAGATAGTAATACACCTACTCCAACTACAACTATTTTAACACCAACAACAACAAATTTATCAACAACTACAACTATTACTACACCAACACCAACTATTACTACACTAACACCAACTATTACTATACCAACACCAACTATTACTACACCAACACCTACAATCTCTTTACCAACAACAACTACAACTATTACTTTTCCAAAACCATATACTAATATTGATATTACAACAACAAAAACAACAAAAACTACTACTGTTCTACAAACAATACTAAAACCAGTTTCAAAAACAACTACAACTATTAATACAACTACAACAATTCCTAAACCAGAACAATTTAATAATTTAATTAGTTGTTCTATTCGTAAAGATGAATTTAAAGAATCAGAAATAAAAACTCATTTAAAAAATCATATTAAAAATTATTTACCTAAAGATACTATATGTGATAAATTAAACTTAAAGAAACAATCAACAGTATATAATAAAATGAGAGAAATTATCAATAAACTTACAGATATTCAAGTAAAGGATTTAGTAGATAAAATACAAAAACTCATTGAACAATATGGTGAACAATTTATTGATTATATTCCTGATAATATGAGAGAAAAAATTTTATATAATTTTGATAAAATCATGATTGAAATTATTGGTTCTATTATTAGATTTTCTAATTTATCCATTTTCTTTTATAAATTTTATTTATAATTATTGTATTTATTCTCTATTAATAAAAATAATGTCATCTTCCACGATATCAAATAAAATAAATGAAATAACTAATGAAAACAATGATCTTAAAAATGAAAATAATAATCTTAAAAATGATATTGAAGGATTAAGTGAAGAAAATAATAATTTTAAAAATAATATTGAAGACTTACAAAGAAGATTATTAGAATATCAAAACTATAAAAAAATTCTAGCTCATTAGAATTAGAAAATAAAGAATTAAATCTTCAAAATCAACAACTTAATATTAATTTAAATGATTTAGAATACCAACTCAAATTGTATCAAACTAAACCAACAACACAATCACTTCAAATAAAAAATCAAGAATTACAAACTTTAAACAAAGAATTAAAATTAAAAATTGAAGAAAATTCTTCAAATATGTTGAATAACAATGATAAAAGGATTTTAGAAGAAATTAAAAAACTTTTTAATAATAATAAATCACTTTTAGAATTTAAAAAAGATTTTGAAAAATTCTTAACCAATAAAGATAATTTATGGATTTGAAAATTAGTACTTTGGTGTAAATTAATATTGAAAAGTTTTCATAATTATTTTTTCTAGAATACATATTGTAATATCGAAGAATCTAAAATTATTTGTTCTCTATCAAATGAACGATTTTTTCTTTATTTTATAGAAATACTTTTTTTTATTTTAACTTTAAATACAATAACAACTATGTTTAAAAATTTTTCATTCTTTATATTATTAGGATGTTGATATAGAGTAACAGGAATTAGTTTTATTTTATCTTTAATAATTATTTATATTTTTAATTTTCTTAAATTTATTTTTACAAATATTCGAAAATGTTGTAGAAAATATTGCTATAATCAACATTGTGAAGTATTGGGTTGGGTTATTTTCTTTTTCTTTATTTCATATATTTTAATGTTTAAACTTATTCCATTATTCTTTGCATATTTTATTATAAACAAATATATTTAAATTTAGTGGATATCGCTCTGGCTTTCAGCCAGCGATATCCACCTTCCACATTGCTATTGATCTCCTTTCCCTCTGAATTTTGTTGATGCAACTTTGTTATGATATTCACGACGCCTCATGGGTTATAAATTGGTTCTAGCTAAAGCTGTAACCAATTAAATGCCTCTCATTTCATGAATATCGTCACAAAGTTGTTATTTATTTAATAAAAAATAATTACAAATATTTTGAAAAATCATTTTTTGGATTATTAATTGAATCTTTTTACATTGAAGCTACTAACTTAAATGCTGATTTATGATCTAAATCTGAATTATTTTTTTTAATAATTGGTAAATTAAATTTCATAAAACTATTATAAGGAGAAAGTTTTTATTTTTATTTATATCAATTGCTGCTCCTTTTTTAGCTAATTTATTAGCAATTTCATTTTCAAATAATCCTTTATGTCCAAATATATGTGTAAAATAAACTTTACTATTTCTTTTATTTAATAAAAAATCCAACTTTTCAAATAAATTCTTATTTTTTACAGTTTCATTTCTTAATGTTTTCCAGTTATTTTTTTTTCAATTATAAATCCAAGTTTCACATGCATTTACAACGTATTGACTATCAGTTTTAATTTCAATAACTTTATCTTGATTTTCACATGTTTCAAGTGCTCTAATTACAGCATAAATCTCTGCACGGTTATTTGTTTTAAGAGTACCAGGTAAGGGTTCAGTAATTTTTTTAGATCCATCTTCGTAATAAATTCCAATTCCAGCATAACAACCATTTTGATTATCTTTTAAAGATCCATCTGTATAAATAACAATTTTATCAATTAAGTCTAATAATTTATTTTTGCTTTTCATTTTTGTTTGGTAATTATTATATAATTGATTTGCTTTTTCTAAAGTAAAACATTTTTTATAATATGCAGAAGGAAAACTGTTCACTTGTTCTTTATATTCTTTCCAGGTTTTATAAACACCAGGAGTACAACCAATTAGAACAGTATAATAATATAAAATTTCTTCTTTAGGCATACTAAAAATTCGTCGGTCAGTCAACCAATAGCAATGTAGAAAAGTGAGAGTTAATATACTAAATGAAACAAGTTTCAGATAATATATAAGTAGGGATCCTTCTCTCACCTGATTAGTTTATTACATGAATAAAATTCTAGTTGGTTTGAGAAGACTAACTAGAAAAATTTAAGAGTTTTTATATAATTATTTATTTATATATGTAAAGTAAAATTATTAATTATCTAAAATTTTGAGATTCATTATTTTATACTATAAAATTGACTCATCGTTTTAAAGCCAAATTAAAAAATTTGTTAATAAAATTATAAGTAATAAATAAAAAAAAATAAAAGAAAAGAATTTAAAAAATTCAATTAAACAAAACGAAAGATTTGGACCTATTTCAATTATAATTTTAGAATCCATTATATAATTAAAATTCTAGTTGGTCTGAAAGACTAACTAGAATATTTTAATTACTGATTAATTACCTTTCATGTGAATATAAACAATTATTTTATAATAATTTACAACCCAGATAAACAAAATAATAATAAAAATTACAAAATAAAATTTAAATTTTTTAAGATATATTATTAATATGATTTTTAAAACTACTTGGTTAATTGATAAATATGTAGTGTCGATAGATGTTAAAACTTTAATTGCATCTTCAATAAATTTGTATGATTTTTCATCTCTAAATAAAATATCGCGAGTAATTTTAGTAGCTGTGCTTTTAGTTTCATCACATCTTCTATTAATATGTGTAATTAGATTAGCTGTAAGGACAATTTTTATATCAGCATTTGGAAGAATATTTGTTGTTACATCATGTCCAACTACAACAAATCTCTTTTTTCTTGTAATTTCTTGAATAATTTCATTTATTATTTTTCTAATTCTATTATTTTGTGCAATAGATACTGCTTTTTGTCCATTTTTTAGATATAATTCACTATGAAGCTTATAAACAAGATTAAATTCATTTAGATAAAATACTGGATTATCGATAATGTTCTTTTTTCTGCTTTGAAGTTGTAAGTAAATTAGATCAACAGAAAGGAAAGAGTAAACTATTGCAAAATAACGATATAAGATACCACTATCAATAAATGTATATCCAAGTTTTTTAGCCAAATATTTTCCAACTGTTGTTTTTCCAGATCCACACAACCAATCATTGCCTCCATTTTTATATAATTATATTTTTATTCGGTCTAAACTGAATAGAATTAATAAAAAATATGATCTTTTTTATAAACAACTATATTTTTATTAGTTATAGTTTCCATTATAACTATAATATCATCTACAATTTCAAATTCCAATTTATAATTGTAGTTAGAAGTATCAAAAGTCTTACATTTACCTATAGTAGTAACAATATATAATAATTTATTAAATTCAGTAAAATTAAAAGATTTTGTCTGAAGATATTTAATAATTCGTGTAGATTGTTGATTTTTTAAATAGAAATTATTTATTGATCTAAACTAACATTGTTATTCTTAAATAAAATATATTTTTTAATATCCATCTAATCGAATAATGTGTTTTTGATCAAAATATTTTCTACAATTAATACAAAAATTACAATCATATACTTTCCAAACAGAACTACTAATATAAAATACATATCTATTGGGTGTATTTATATTTTTCAATAGATTATTAATAGTGGAATCAAGTTTTATACTATATTCATATTCTGCACAATAAGTAAATTCTTTATATCTATTACAATAAGTTTTTTTATAGCTTTCGAATTCTTTTATATCTACAAAATCCAGATAACTACATTTAGTAGTAAATTTAATTCTTTTCACTTTACAAAAAAACTTCTTAGACATATCTTGCTTTAAATGAGAATAAACCCATTTTTCACCAATTTTAAAATCTACCCAGATATTCTTTGTAGTATATCGAATCTGAAATGGTACTTCGATAGGTAGTGAATAAAGAAATAGATCAAAACGTTTAATAAATTTATATTTTGTCCCATACCATCTAATTAATGTTTTATAATTTAACCAAAATTGTTTAGAAACCCATTTTAAATTAATAACTGTTTTATCCAACGGAGTTATTCTTTCTTTGAAAAGAAAACAAAATATATTTATAATCAGCTCAGTAGGTAGAGAAAGGTTTGTGTTTTAAGATATTTGTTTTCTTGTTTCACTTCTTTATAGGTTTCTTTATTAATATATCGTTTTTTTTTGTTTTCGATTGGTTTAAAACGTTTGTTTTCTCGTTTCACTTTTTCATAGGTATTTTTATCAATATATCACTTAGATATTTTGAATTACGTATTTAAAATTCTAATTGATAATAAATACTAATTAGATTTAAAATAATCTGTTATTTTGCTATTTAATTTTAATTTTTTATTAGTACTATTTGCAAATTCATTTTTACATTTAGAAGTAATTTTTAATTCGTTATTTAATTTTGTTTGTATTAATTTATCACTATTAACTTTATTATATAACGAAATTATTTTTTTCTCTGCTTCTTTTTTATCACATCCAAAAAAACTAGCGCATAAATTTTTTGAACTCTTTAGATAATATAGTAGATCAATTCTATGTTTTTTTGGTTTATAATCTGATGTTAAACAAACTTTATAGCCAATATTTTTATAATCCAAATCCAATACATAATAAAAAAATCGTCCAGGTTGTAAAGTTTTCCCTCTTTCTTTTAACTTTGTTTCAAAATCAATTACTATCTTATTTTCCCTTTTTTTTTCGGGTCATGTTTCATCTTATTTAATACAATTTCCTTTTTGTTATTATTTTCAATTATAAATTTATGTGCACTTCTACTATATTTTGGATTAAATTTTGCATTCAAAGTAAATAGTTTTATATCATGTGATTTTTTAGTATATTTCAAAAGTACTTCATGAGCGACTTGTTTAGGCTCTTTAGTAATCTCTTTTAATTGATGTTTTTCATTAAATCCTAATACGCTCCATATCATTTCTGTCTCGAGTTGTTTATTAAATTACGCTTTTTCACCTTCAATCCTTTAAGTAGTAAATTGGGGTTATCAAATTTAGGTTGGTTTTTGTGAATAATACCATAATAATATTTTTTCTGTAAAAAACAAGCTGGGTATAATGTTTTCTCATATTCTATCTTTATGTATTTTTTGCCTTTTTCTTGAAGAAATTGATTAACTTTATCTTGAATTATTTTAGATATCATTATAGTTTTTTTGATTTTTTCTCTAAAACATAATTGCTTAATTATATCTCCAACTAAATCTTGAACAGGATGTCTTAGCGTGTATCTTGATTCTATTTCCTTTAGTATCTTTTTTAATATATATAAAATATCGAATCAGTATTGCCATATATTATATCAGATCAGTTGCAAATTCTTTTATTTTCTTTTTTGCTTTTGTTCTTTCTTCTAATAATTCTTTATACATCAATGGCATTATTCCCATATATTTTTCATCATTGTAATGTGGTTTGAATTTTCCATAAACTCTCCCTTTATCTTTAATAACTAATAATGAAGGATCATTAGATTCATTTCTAACCAATGTCAATGATCAATATTTATTTGAATTATAGCGTTTGGATAAAATGAATTAACATCTACATCTGCCACTGGTTGATTTTCAACATTTTTATTTACTTCTAAAACAAGTGCACCTTGATACTTATTATCCACTTCAATTATTTCTTTACAAATCAATGATACTAATATATCACGTTTTGCAGCAACTCTTCCATATTTGTTAAATACTACCCATCCAACCGCATTTAGAATTACATTAGATATTGTAAGACATGAAATTGCAGCCAATTGAATATAATCTCCTATTATATTTCGTTTAATTAAAAGTTCCTGTAGTCGTAAAGTGTCAATCAAACAATAATATGCTATTTCTATAGCATATTTTTCTAATATATTTTTAGATACTACTAATGAATCCAAACAGATTTGAAAATCAATATTACATTTTAATGATAAGATTCGAGCTGTTTCTTTTAATTTTTCTGGATTACTATAATATCTGATAGCCATAATATAAACATATATTGAATGTATATTTTTAGCATCTTTAGAAAGATATAGAAGATCTTCTTTACTATGTAATCCATATTTCTTTAATATGTGATCAAGTGTATGTGTAATATTTGTTTAAAAAGTTTTTTTTGCCTATATTAAGAGATCTAAAAATACTGTATCTTGTTTATAAAAATATTCACAGTGCATATTTTCCATTGGGTTAGTCTTTATTTCTTTTGTTCTAAAATTATATCCAGCAAATTTATACTTTCTATTCATTTCATCCAAATTTTTATCAACAACTCGTATATCCTTTTCATAAATATTTAATATTAATTTAGATTTTTTGCCAAGAATTTTTTCTATAAATTCATCTCCAATTCCAAGTAGTTCTACTTTCTTTAAAACTTCTGGCCAATCAAACCCTCCAGTATTATATCTAATTTCAAAATCTATATTATATCTTCTATATAATTCTGCAAATTTTAATAATAATTCTCTTTCATTTTCTACTACTATAAACTTAAAATCTTTTTCACAAATTTGTGAATATTTTGAAAAAAATAAAGTTGAATTAAGTGGCAATGTTGTAATATTGTACCATTTAAGAGGTTTGGAATTATTGTAGAGAAATATATCAAATTGAATCATATAAATGAAATCTTCCTTTTCCTCCCCACTTGGAAAAAATCCAGAACCATGCTCACTTCCCATTTAGTATCCCATGCACCTATGAAAAATTTTGGTAAGTTATTTGTATTAGCTTTCTCGATATCACTTAAAGTAATAGACATATTATTGTAAACACATCCAGATTTTAATTTATACCATCCAACTAATTCAAAATCATTTTTACGTGCTACTTTTCTATAATAATATGTCAAATCATCAGAATATGTTCCCAAAATTCTTCTATTTGTTTTGTAATATCTTCCTTATCTTTAGTTAAATAAGCATCTGCTTTTAAATCATTTAAATTATCTATTCTATCTTTTAACTGCTTAAAACTTTTTTTCGTTCTTTATGTGTTTTAAAATATAAACGAAGAAATTCATGATTTTCTGTTGAATTAAAGGGTTGTTTTGTAATTATCTCATATGATTCTGGAGTGAATTTATCTATATATTATCAATTAAACTTTCATCCTTTAATTTTATATCAAAAAATATATCTTTAATAACAACATCTATAGTTACTTTTTAGCAATTAGTGCAAACAGTATATAATCGTAACAAATGGTTGTTATAATTAGATGCATCAACTGCATCATAAATAAAAAATATATTTGGATTTTTATAAAAAGAATTTGTAAATTCAGTTCTATTTGACATTTACACAAATAAAAAACTATCTGGTAAAATTTACTAGATAGAAAATACATAATTAATTATAATAAACAAAATATCTTTTTCCATCATTCTTATCTTTAAAATAACCATCATATAAATTATTTTCCTCATGAAGTGTAGGTAAATACTTCTCAGTACCTAATAACATTGCAATCATATATTCTTCAAACTCTGAGTATGATTTGATTGTAGTTATATTTTTAATTTTAAATGTCTCATCTAACATTAATAAAATATTATATTTTTTTAAAAAATTTTCTGCGATTTTAAAGTTTTTACTATCTTTAAAGAAAGTGTCTTGTAGAATATTTAAATCTTTTCCAAAATGATTAAGATTGAGTTGTTGATTTAATAATGAACAAACAAAAAATAAATATTCATGAACTAAAGAATTATCTTCAAAAAGAAAATACTCATGAGGTTTAATAAGTGTTAAAATATTATAATACTTTTCAAAAAAGTTTATAATTTTATTTTCCTTTTTAGTAGAAAAAATAAAAAAATAATCTTTGATTTTACGAAAATCAACATTAAACTCTTTAAATTCTTTAATTAAAGACATTTTACGTAATTAATTTACTAACTAGTTAAAACTAGTTAGTTTGAAAAAATATATCAAAAAAATTATAATATTCATTAATTTTACAATTATTATCTTTACAAATATTTATTTCACAGCAATCTTCACAAATATACATGTTATTTTCAAAAATTGTATAATTTGAATAAATTTTTCAATAAGCTCTTTATATTTATCATATAATTTTGATAAATATTCTCTATCACAAGTCTCCCAAGGTCGATTTCTTTTTTCTTTTCTTTTAATTGCAATTTTTTTTTCTGGTCTAACATAAATCACTTTGCTATTAAGTTTTAAATTAATTAACTCACGTCTTTTTCTTAAAAACTCCTTAATTTCTTCATCATCAATATTAATATCTGTAAAAATCTCAATTTCTTTATATCCTCTATCAATAATAATATAATCATAACCTTTTTTTTCATTAATCTCTTCAATAATCTTACTATACATATTCGTAATTTCTGATTGAAAAAATAATGTGTTTCCTGTTTTATAAAATATTTTCAAAGCATCTTTAATTAAAAGTAAGACTTCTTTCATACGAAAAACTCTAAATCCCTTCTCAGTAAGATATTTCTCAAGATGTTTAGTGCAAGTTGTTTTTTCCATACCAACTCTACCACAGAGAATTAATGCTTCTGGTGGTTCCTTCCCTTCAAGAGCATGTAATATTTTTTGTTTTTTTTTGGAAAAGGTCTCTAAGAGTTTGCCAATTTTTTTCAAACTCATTGTTAACATCTTCAAGTTCAGAATATTTTTTTTTTTCTTTGGACATTTCTGTTATTTCAAAACTAGAATATTTTATATTGATAATAATAATTAAAATTATAAGAAAGATTATAATCATAATTATGTATTTAAAAATCTATTTGGTGAATATTTACTAAATAGATAATATTAATAACCATTAAGATTTCTTGTAATTTTATCATATACTAATTTAAATTCTATTGCTTCTTGTTTAATTTTAAAACATTTTGATTTTTGTTTATTATTTTCATACCAACAAAAATACCAATAATTATATTTCTTATTAAAACTAATTCTATTATAACCTAATGAATTATTTTTTCGTAAATTACAATTTAATAAATTATCTTTTTGTGTTGTTTTTCTTAAATTAGATTTACGATTATTTAATCCACAACGATTAATATGGTCTATCATTTTCCATTTTGGCTGAATCATTTGATGTAAGGTAATATTTTTTTGTTTATTATTTTTTCTAATTTTAGTTTAAATATAATATGTATTTCTATTCTTATAAGAATACCATGTATGATTTTTGATTAAATTAAAATTATCAAGATCTACTATAAATGTTGTCGAATTTGTTGTTTTGACTTCAAGAAAAAGTGTAGCATCAATTTTAACAATTTGGTATTCATTTAATTTATATTATTTTGTGATTGGTATTTTTGACCAACCAGAAAGGACTTCATAACTTGGAAATTTTTCTTTCCAATACATTATATAATTAAAATTCTATTTGGTCTAATAGACTAAATAGATATTTAATAAGGATTAAACCGATTATTACTACTACTATATTTAATTGATAATTTTCCTATTTTAATATTTCTCTTTAAATGCATTCTAAATAAAGTTGAAGATTCTTCAAATGAATCAATTTCAAGATTTTCTAAAGTAAAATCTTCTAAAATAAATAATGATGATTCTTTTTCTTTTAATAATTTCTTTGCTATTTTAATTTGATCAATAATATTTTCAACATTACAAAGATAAATCTTTTGCTTTGAATTTAAAGCTTCATTTTTAGCATTATTAGAGTATGTTATATTTGTAACAAAAAAACCAACAGTTCCTTCAGGTTGTTTAGCTAATACCGCAGAAAATTGTCAAATATCTGCAGGTCCAATGTGATATTTTTCTGCTTTGTTTTTTACTTGAATTATATAATTCATTAGTTTATAATTTCCAAATAAATCGATTTCACCATCACCAATAGAAGTGAATTTAGTATTAATTTTATAATCTGTTCGAGTGGCATAACATTCAATTTGATTACTTCGAAGTAATTCAAGTAAAGATAATTTGAGTTCATCTCCCTTTTCTTTAGTTAAAATCTAAAAAAAAAATAATAATAATAAGTAATTGTCATCATCATATCAATTACAAATTTAATACTAAGCCGTTTTTACAGATAAATCTTAATACTGGCTGTTTTCACAAAATGTAAAATATTAAGTTCTACAGAACGCAACTTCACAATGACTATTCGTGGATTTTACTTCTAATGCTCAAAGGACTCACTCATTCTAGCATTACTTACAACTTAATATAATACTAGACAAATACTTAGTAAACAAGTTACCTTTTTGAAAATCAAAATCTTGGACATCTTAAATATGTAATATAATAACAATTAATTTAATAATAAAAAATAAAAACATTATAATTATATAGTTAAAATTCTATTTGGTCAAGAAGACTAAATAGAAAATAAAATAATATTAATAAAAAAAATTAAAATAATAAATTATTCTTTTTGAAAATTTCCATGTCTTGAATCCTTTTCTACAATTTCTCTTTCAGATATTGAAGTGCCAACTAAAAAATTCTCATTCTCAATTCTAGCATTATTATCTTCATTATTGATTTTTTTTTTTTTACTATGCTTCAAACTAGTACATTTCCTTCCCACACTATCAATAATTTTATCTAATTTAAGTTTTAAACTATCAGTAAGAAGTTGATCTTTAAGATCTTTCATATCACAAAGAAACCAATCATCATGTTTTTCTGGTTCTGTATTTTCAGGAATTTGATCTGTAATTGTAAAATAAATCAATGTTCTAAACATATATTCAGCTCCATCAGGAAATTTACGAAATCCAGTATAACTATCAATATAATTTAATTGCTTCTCTGTAATTTTAATTTTAGCTTCTTCAAAGGTTTTACAAACAGAACATTTTTCATATGCTTCATTTTCTACAAGTCCACATACAGATTGAATATAATTCTAGAAATCTTTTTTACTATTATTATAACGATTTAACCAAAATTTACGGTCAGGATTAACCAATAAATTAATAAAAAATTCTTTGACTTCATTTTCATATTTATCAATGATTTCTTTTTTTTGTTGTAATAAATTAAGATTTATAGCAATTAATTCTGTGATTTGGTTCTTAGCAATTGTAAAATCACCAGAAAACCCTTGTTCCGAAATAGCTTTTAAAGTATTTAAGTAAGTAAAATAAGTTGAATTACATGTTTGATAATTGTTATAATCTTTTAACGTGTTATTGTACAATTGTTTAGCCATTTTAAAATTCAAATAATAATAATTACGTATTTAAAAATCTAATCAGTTATAAAACTAATTAGATATTATTATTAAAAGTTATATCTTTAAAAAATACATTATTATTATCAATTTTTCTGTTTTGTTTAAAAATATATTCAAATTTACTAACACAAATATGAAATTCGGAAAAATGATATGCTTTACAATCATTATAATAATAATTTTTTCCACTATTATTATCGTTTACGACAAAATCATCATTTTCATATATTGAAAATTTTTCAGATGCTGTTAACTCATAATCTGAAATATCAATAATAATGTCTTTATTAAAATCATTTCCCTCATTAAAAAGTTTTCGTTTACATTTTTTACAATATTTTCGTCTGAATAATGAATCACAACTATCACAATAAGTAAGTTTTAAATTTAAATTATATTTTTTTGTAAAATTATAGTTTGGTGTTCCATGATTACGTAAACTTCTTTGGATAATAAATGTTTCATTATTTTTAGTAATATATTTAACATTAAAGTTGAATGGATATTCTGAATTTTTTTTAATTATACTATTAAGATTATTTAGTTTAATTTTTATTTTTACACAAATAAAATTCTATTTGGTAAAAACTAAATAGTAAGTAAATATATAAAAAATATTATGAAATTATTTCATTTCTTTTTCCACTACTTCCTGTTCTTCTTCCTCTTCAATCTCTTTAATAGTTTCTGTTTCTAATTTAGCTTTCAAATCTTTTATATTTTTTAACTGCATATTAATACCCAAACTAGTTCCTTTATGAACTTTTTCCAACCATTGTTTAGCAATATTGTAATTTTTATTCTTTCTATTAATCAGCATTTTTTCTTCAATTTGAGAGATTAAAGCAATTTGTTCATTTTGGAGTTTTTCCAAACTTTCTAAAAAGCTTAAACAATCATCGGTATCAGAAAAACATTTTTCAACAAATTTTTAAAAAATTTCTAAATTTAATTGCCACTCTTTAAGAGCAACATATTTATTAATTTTATCAGCAGAAAAAATTTCACGTTTTGAGAAAAGAGTAAAACATTTATTATTTTCTTTTTGAATTTTTGGCATTGTTGTTTATTTAATAATAATAAATATAAATTATATAAATAAAAATCTATCTGGTAAAATACTAGATAGATGATGGAGATTGAGGGTGCCATTGAGGTGATTGTAATTTGTATTCTTCTTGTTTTAAATTTTCTTGTTTTAATTTTTCCAATCTAATATTGATAGCTACTACAATATTATTATCTTGTTTTTTCTTTTTTCTTTTTAATATATTTGTTTTAAAATTTTTAAGTAATTTTTGTTCATTTTTATAAATAAAAGAGTTAGTTGAATTAACATTTTTTACCCAAAAAAACAAATTATAATCTAATTTTAATTCATGTAATAATTTTTTAAATTTCATTAAAGAACCTTTGTCACTTAAAGAACCTAAGTGATCTTTCTTTGGAATATTTTTATCAACACTTTGAAGTAGTTTAAAATATCTACAATGTCTTCTGAATGGATATTCCCAATTAGAATATCTATCATCATACTGCTATAGATCTTCACAAAATTTATATTCTTTTTCATTTTGAAAATTAGTTTTATCATTATCACATTTACATTTAAAAAAGTCAAAAAATTTAATATATTCACTATGTTTTAAAAGATCAAATTGCTCTTTGGGGTTTCGTTTTTTATATAAAATTATATATGAACAATTAAAATCGATATCACAAAATAATATAGAATTTAATATGATAAAATGTTCATGAAATGCTTTTTGTTTTATTTGTGAATATTTTGAGAAAGAAGTTACAATATCTCTTTGAATAGACATTGTTAAATAATTAATTATTAAATTACAGTAATTATTTATAAAAGCACCAATATTGCTTTTGGTATCAAATCTCAAGATTTGATGAAGATTAAATTGTAAAGATTTTATATCTCTTTTATAGAAAATTTTTATCTATCAAAAAAAAACTAAAATTTTAATTATAAGAAGATATTGTAGAGATTAAAAAAAGTGAAGTTGTTTTAGTTCTAAAAATAAATAAATATTTGGTTAATCAAATTTTCTAATTTGGAAGTTGTCTTGGTTCTGAGAATAAATAAATATTTGGTTAATCAAAATTTCTAATTTGGAAATTGTCTTGGTTCTAAGAATAAATAAATATTTGGTTAATTGAATTTTTTAATTTGGAAATTGTTTTAGTTCTAAGAATAAATAAATATTTGGTTAATCAAATTTTTCAATTTGGAAGTTGTCTTGATTCTAAAAATAAATAATATTTGGTTAATCAAAATTTTTCAATTTGGAAGTTGTTTTGGTTCTGAGAATAAATAAATATTTGGTTAATCAAATTTTCTAATTTAGAAATTGTTTTGGTTTTAAGAATAAATAAATATTTGGTTAATCAAAGTTTTCAATTTGGAGGTTGTTTTGGTTCTAAGAATAAATAAATATTTGGTTAATCAAATTTTTCAATTTAGAAATTATATTGTATCTAAATATGTTTTGTAAAAAACTAAGTATTTAATTTTAACTAATTATATTTGTTTATTCTAAGTATCTTTTATAAAAACTAAAGTTAAAATTCACCCCACGTATATTAAAAACTCTTTTCGGTTCACCCCTGAAAATCTTTGACAATAGTAAAAAGTAAACAAAATCTTTGCAAGTTTTTAGTATTATAGTAATTCATATAACAAGCCCTTTGGGCAAGCAAGTTACTCTGATACACAATAAGTAATTACAATCGGCAAGATAGAGAGAATATACAGTACCCAAGAAACACAAGTTTCTCAAGTCTTAGCTCCTTTGGAGCTTTCTAACAACATGTCACAACAAAAAACATACTTTCAATCGTTCTCAGAAAAGTTATTTGGCGCAGCATTAACAAACGA